GCGGGCGGCATGGCGCGATGCTGGCACGAAGAGCTGGCAACACCCGTCAAGGGGGGGATCGCTATGCAACGTCCTACACTCAGCACACTCGAGGTATCTCGAGGTTCAAGCAGATGCACGGGGTCTGTGGGCATGGACTGGTGGGGCTGCAGCGGCTGTGATGGATTTGGAAGGGCAGGGTGTGGGCGGAGGGACGGTGGCGACAACAATCTCACACTTATCGACATACCGAGGCTAGACTAGCTTGCATGACGGAAGCTCTTGTGGCCTTGCAGCCTAAATTTGTCCCGCTTAACTTCGCTTTCTTGGGCGACACGGCTCCTAGGCTGTTAAGCGGGACAGGCACCTCGTGACGTAGTGGTGTTGCTGCAGATCGAGACTTGTGTAGGGGAAAAGGCAGAGCTTCACCTCTGATCGTGTCTTCTTCCCGTTGCTGCTGCATGGCACAATGCTGGCCGAAGCACCCACTCACTTGAAGCGAGAAACGGCATTGCATGCGCATGGCCTTTTGTCCGCGGATCCGGCACTTCAGAGTGACAGCATGGCACAAACAGATGTTTTTCTTCTTCGATGTGGTTTGTAAGATGCACAGCACTGTAGCCAGAACCAGCCAACTTTCAGAATGTAGCGTTAGACTGTAACGATGTCCCTCCCAAGCGCGGGGTGAATCATTAGACAGCTTGTTAAATTTTCGCGCTTTGCAGCCCATTCAATCGTCCACGCTCATCCGTCTCAGTATTTCTGTCAGAGCATGCAGATGGGATCAGATGAGCAGCTAAGTTGGCCATGCCGTCGCCATGCAATGCGGCAGATGAAGCGACCAATGGCAACGCCACCAGTGCAAGCAATGCAAGCAAAACTGGTCAAAAGGATGAGAAGGACGAGAAGGTGACATAGAGAAAGGTGAGCGGTGTGTGCTGGCAACTCTTGTGACCAGCCGCGGTATACTCAGGCGAGCGAGTCGGAGACCTTCTCACGCTTCCGTGAGGTAATCTCCACAAAGGTGTCTTGGACGAAAAAATTGCGATGAAGTAGGGAGCAGTCTTTGCTTATCGCGGCCATCGGAGACAGAGACGAGACCTATTGGGCGTAGGTTGACCCACGCCTCTCCCGCTTTAGTTGTGAGCAGCTGGAGCTTTCCAAATCAGTTTGTTCCTTAAGAGGGAGGGCTTCCCGCCACGGACGCTTACTTCCGTAGTCGAATCGTGCATCCCAGCAACTTGAGACACGTCTAGCGAGTGTTGCAGTAGATATGGCGATGTGCGACGGTTTCGGAGAGCAGAAGCCCTTGCTTGTGCCATGGCCAGGCACACGAGCTTTCGGCAGAAATCTCTACGAAGGCCAGTCTAGAAGGGCTCGGTCTGAAGCCCATCGTATCAAGCTTATCAAGCTTTGCTCGCGCAGGCGACTCCTCTCCTTGCAAAGGCGCAAGCGAAGGCAAAAGCATTGAGTTGTCTCAGAGTACCAGAAGCTGCTGACGCTGGACAATGCTGGTGACAGGCCCACGAGATCTCTGACGAAATCTCTACAAAGGTGGCGCATTTGGTTGCTTATGTCGATCCCGGCTTGGGGGGCGAGCGTGCAGTGCAACTTGTTCTGCCGGTGGTCTTTGACGGAGGCCACGCACTTCACAGCGAAGGCGCAGGCGAAGGCAAAGGGTCGGAAATGATGCACGGCATTGCATGCGGTGTCCCGAGCGAGGTCGTTCGAACTCGAAGGTTTGAGAGTTTTCAAAATTGAAAGTTTGACAGTTCGAAAGTTTGGAGTTTGAGGTTGGCTTCGGGTTCGGTCCGCGCCTGGCCACTGAGGTCAAGACTTCGGCAGTTTCAAGCTTTGAAAGATTTGGAGCTCGAAAGATAGAAAGTTCGAGAGTTTGACAGATTGGATGGCATGAAAGTTCGAGAGTTTGAGACTTCGAGGGTTTTGCAATTTCAACAGCTGTAAGGCTTGAAACGTGTCGATTTCGAAAGCTTGAATGTTCGAGCTTCAAAATGTTCAAAGTTTCAAACGCTGGTGTCTTATCTTAAGCTGGCTCCCTCATTAAGTGACGGCGGTCAGACGGTGACGCCTGATCTCACATGTCGAAAATGACCCTCCTTGGTAGGCGATGTCAGTTGATGGCCTGAGTCAAATCGCTCTCTCATTGGGCGAGTGAGGTTGATCCCATGTTTGCCATATCTTAAACCGCTCCCTCGTGAGTCGAGTACGGTTGATCTCATATCTTAGTCCCGTCCAGCCATTAGGTGATGGCGGTTGATCCCATGTTTTCAACCCGACCCTTCATCAGGTGATGGCGGTTGATCCCTTGAACTCGACCCCTCACGAGGCAATGGCGATTCAGCATATTAAATATCTTATGTACACCCGGCAGCTCAAACGATGGCGGAGCCCGGCCCTTCAGTAGGCTCTGCTCTCATATCTGCACCTCCTTGGGTCATTGCCATTGCCATTGCCATTGATCCCATATCTTAAACCCGGCCCCTTACTGGGCGACGGCAGTTGATCCCAAGTATTGCATGCCTTAGCACCCTCATCATTCGATCGGCTTAAACTTGTGCCTCTTTACGCGATGACAACTGATCCAACATGTAAAACTGTAAAACTAAAATTCTGTTTTCGTCTTTGGGATTACCGTACACGTAGGATTGTTTCAAGCAGGATGGTGTTGAGGGTTTATGCCATTCTTGGCACCCTGAACTCCAATCTCTAATCAATTTCCATTCAAAGTCAAGCTTTCAATCTTTCAAGCTTTCACAGGTTTCGTGCTCCGAACTTTCAAAAATTGGAAAATCGAAGGTTTGAACTCTCAAACTCCGTGTCTTTCGATTTTTCAATGTTTCGAGATTGAAACTTGTAACCTTTGAAACTTTGATCCGTTCGAACTCCAAACTTTCCAAGTTTCAAAATCCCACACTTTCCATCTTTCTAGCACGTCCGATTTCGGGCGTTTCACACTTTCAATTTCCAACCGTTGCACCTTTCAAACTCGAGCCTGGGAAGTCCGTGGACCCCCGCATCCTCTGTTTCTAAACTCGAACTCGCGCTTGTTTTCAATCTTGATTGTTTCAATCTTTCGATCTTGGAACTTCTCATTCTCCAAATCCAATTTTCAAATTCCTCAATCTCGTTCTACGTTTGATACGTTCAAACCTTCACAGATTCGAGTTCGAAAATCCTCACTCGTGACACCTACCCTTCCTCGTACCTTTCGCTGCCCCTGCTGTCTCTATCACCTTGCAGTGCCTTGCAGTGAGTTGCAAGACGAGGCGCATGAAATTTCCGACTCACTCTTTGCCCACATGCTCAACGCCGAGGAGCGTGGGCAGACGGCCGATGGAGTCGCATTTCGCGCATTTCTCTCTTGTCAAGGCCGCGGCATCTGCAGCCATGGCCCGGCGGCGGGCGCTGGTGGGCCTCGTGGACGTCCTAGTGGCTGCCTGGCACGTGTCAGGTCTTGTCAGGTCTTGGGGTTTGCGGTTTTTGCTGTGAGCGAAACGTGGTTCTTGAGCCAAACACAGGATGTGGAGGTGTACAGTAATGGCCTGGCAGGGTTCGACTAAACACGGCTGTGGCTCTGGCATGAAGACGCTGGGCACAGAGCTCCTCGAATGCCGCATTAACACTAACGTAATCGTTTGTTGTTTTAAACGCAGTGCTGTCATCCAGGCCGTGGAAACTCACAAACAAGCTCAAAGGTCACGTTGAAGGCCTAGGATGGTAGAACGGCTGTAGCCGGGGAACGAAGGGCGTGACTGTGCTTGATGCAACATAATTGCTGGTTATCGTTTCCTGCTTCCTGACTCCTTCGTAGTATTGGCAGACAACTCTTACCTTGGAGCCTTCTGGCCCAGCTGCCCAGCCCTGTGGCCCAGGGCGCGGAAGCTGCCTAGCTGTTGCCATGCCTCATCTCGACATGCCAAGCATGCCAAGCATGCCAGGCAACGTGCCAAACAACGAGCCTGATGTGGACTTGAGTTCTGTCGAGGCAGAGGTTCCTGGCGAGCGAACTGAGCGAAAGGGTCAAGGCACCAGGGAGAAAGTCGCGCAGCTCTTGGAGATGATGGAGCTACGTGACCCAAGCTTGATGCGTGCCGTACGCACTCATACGGCCATCCAGGCTCTGGCCCAGGAGTGCCTGGGCCTTGAATCAGAGTCTCGACTGGACCGCAGTTTCGTGGTGCAAGAAATCTCACAGTTTTGGTCACATAGTTGGCATGGATCCGCGCGGAAAAAGCTTCTGCTGGTTCTGGCAATGGAAAACGGACTGGCTGCAACTGTCTGCGGTACGTTGGCTGGACTAATTGCCATGGTACTCTATATCAATGGTCTCTTGCCACGAGGTGAAAGGCCTGCCATCGTAGGCAATGACCACGGCACATCATTGTCGCTCTGGTCAACTGCTTCAGCTTCACTCACGGCACTGCTGACCCTCTGCTTCTGGAGAACGCGACGGTCGGTGTTCTTGGATGCACTGTGCGTGGATAACGAAACACCTCGCAGAAAGGCGGAGTGCATCGTAAGTCTTGGTGCCTTTCTGAAGCGCTCAAGAACACTCCTCGTACTTTGGGACCACACGTTCTGCCAACGCCTGTGACTTAGCATTCCCTTCAACGAGTTGAATTAATCGCGCCTTCAAGCACAGTGCTGCAGTTGACACCCCCCCAAGCGATGTGCTGAGCGTAGATTGTCAAACCCGTCTATATGCACAAACCCACAACCCTCGTTATCCCAGGTTACGAAAACAATTTACGAGGGTCACAGTAGTATAGTCAACAGAAAGTTGTAGACTTTAAAACCCATTCCAGGGCTTAAGGCTCAAAGCCTCATTCGGCATCGGTCTTTCCAGGAGGTCAGGGTTGGGGTTTAAGCTTTAGGCTTGTTTGGGGAAGTAACGTAGTCGTAGGAGTCGCAGTAGTCGTCGTAGTTGTCGTAGTAGAGTGGCAGTATATACACTCGGCGAGTATTGCTGGTCGTCGTCATAGTCGTCGTCGTCGTCGAAAAGAGTCAAGGAAGCAATGCGTAGCGATAAATCGAATAATTGGGCAGGTCGGATGACAGTGTTTACCACTGTGTAGGGGATCCCACCGAAGAGATACAATGGAACTTGTGGACCGAGAAGACCACACAGTTCCAGTTGCATTTACAACAGTTCGCGGCGAGTTGGTGTGACGGGGTTCCTAAGGCCTGTGGTGCATCTTCGAAATTGGCGCGTTCTTAAAGAGCCATGAGGAAGACACTGCAGCTCGAATGTTGGTGAGGCCTACATATCTGGGGCCGTGTGCATTTACCCTTGCCGTGTGCATGTTGCTCACCATGGGAATCATGCATCTTATCAACTGGGACAACCTTCTGTTAGCAGCCATGGTATTTGCTGCCTGGGGCTTCTTCGGCTTCTACATGGCAGTTCATGCATTTCGCCACTACTTCGAGTCTGTGCGAGTGACGCAGAGAATGATGGCAAACTTCAGGATTGAAGATTCTCTGTGTTACTGTTGCCAAAAGGCTCACCAACGTGCAGACGGGACGAAGCTCATTTGTGACAGGGAAATCGTGTGTGACTGCATCAAACGCTGGTATGGCAGTGCCGAGGAGTTCGAGGCACGTGTACAGTCCACTATCTCGAGTGCCTTGACTTCGCAGCTTGGAAGGCATGCATTCCCGTATCTGTGGCTGCTGGGTTCCACGACGCCAATGCTATGGGGCGAGATGGATATCTTTGCTTCCCACTACCAGGCCCACAGGCGATTGCGTACACTTTTCACGACCATCAACAATTTCGGCTGGTGGCTTGGAGGCTTTCCAATGATAGTCTGTTTGGCGCTCTTCCTGGCCGAAAGATGCTGCAAACCAGCTGGATCGAAACTGTGGGATGCTCTCCAGACTATGGCCTTGACGCTCGTTGTTGTTCCTGCCTACTTCGCTCTGTTTGTTTATCAGATGTTTTGTCAAAATCTTTGGTCCGGCAACCCTATTCCTGGAGCCAGCGTCTGGGCGCTCACGACATCAGCAGCAGCCGTGCTACTCTGGCATCCATATATTTTTATGAGAATTTTCAGGATGCGTGCAAAGAATTCACAGGGAGTGAAGCACTCGCTGGAGCAGTAATGGCATCTGGCTTACTTGAGTTGGATTCGCGATCCTGTTTCACAATTGCTTTGATTTTCCGGTTGGCAGCCGCTGTGGCTAAGTCAGTCGCCCTGCTTGCTAACGCCTTGCTGCTTGGCCACATGTTTCCTCGAAGTACGGGATGTGGACAGGTTGCACTCTCGAGTGTTTTGATGGGAAACAATGTCTTCTTCTTTGTCCTGCTTGGTAGCGACTTTCAAGGTCTTAGGGATCCGTGTCGCATCGTGCATCCTTCATGTTCTGGACGCCTGTTGGTCCCATCCAGAAGCATTGGGACATCTTTGAAACATTGACAACTTACATCTTCCCATATATTTGTTGAATCCCTCAGCTTGCGGTACACAGGGTGAGGGCGTCAGAGGGAGGAGCTGGAGGCAGCCATGCCCCAGTAAGCTTTTACATCGGGGGATTTCCGATATTCTCCGATGCTGCGATGTAGTCCAGCTTGCCGAGGAGCGACACAGTGCCGGCCGCTTAAAGCGTCGATGGGTCCTGGCTACTGCTATGGTCACCTTCTGCTGCACGCCAGCATTTTGTTGGCACCGTCTGATTTTAGCTGCTTTAAGCTGCTTTGGCTATGCCAGAAGGGCATGTTTTGCAGCTGCAGGCCTCACAGGACAAAGAGTGATTACCTGCTTCGTCACCTCGAGGCTACTGTCGGTATGCCCTGCCGGCACTGGCCAGCTGGGGATCCGGGCATTGGGAGAGGCAGCTTTCTGAACTGGCAAGCTTTGTGTCAGATGTTGCCATCAGTATTTGTGGGCAGGACATCAACTGCGCATATTGGTTCGAGACACTTGTCGATCACCGGTTCTTTTTCTCATGGGAGCAATCACTGAACTCCGTTGCACATCACTTCGTCCTCATGTTCCTACATGCATATAGTTTTACGGATTCTGCCGTCTGCGGTTATTCAGCGGTTCGGTCGAGTAGCACGCTGGCCGTGTGGTGAAGGAGTACTAGGTCACTGGGTCGGCTGACCGAGTTCCTGTTTTCAAGCTGAGAGCAATGCACCCCGTCGTGACGAGCATTGCATGAGCCAACGTCACTCGTTGGGCCCTGCTTGATGCTCTTCCCATGAGAAGCCTCACATTGCTCTTACATGCCTTTAGAGCCATGCAGTGAGTTTTGATACTTGTGTGAGCGAGGGGAGCTTGCAGGAGTGTGGATGCCAGCGAGTTCGAGCAGACAGTGGGTGGACACAACTCACACGTGAACTTTGCGGTTTTGGTCGTGGTCTCCTTGGGCTGCTCAGAAGCCATCAGAATCAGCCAGCTCTGTCTTGGAGCTCCAAAGCACCGCAGCGCGCGCAGCCAAGGCTACCTCTCCATGTTGCATTGCTCATCGAGGCTGATGGAGGCAAGCTCTCGCTGAGCCAGGACCAGGAGCCATAGCCATAGCTACGCTGAATTCAGCCACGCCGCAGATCAGATCGCCGCAGTAGATCCGTGGACTGCTGTTGAGACGGGCCAGAGGGGTGGTGGGTGGAGTGGAGGGTTAGAGTGGTTAGAGGGTGAGCGGAGGCCGGATTCATGGAGGTTGGAGGGGTGAGGGGTGGAAGGGCGAGGGGCGGGGGTGGAGGTGGAGGGTGGGTGAAAAAATGACAATAGGGGGATTGTCCGGCCTGCCCCCTCATCTGTTTTTTTCAACCCATTTTCATACCAAAACATACTTAAAGGGTAGCCACCGTATATAGGTAATGACCGAGCAGGGCGCACCAGAAAATGTAATGAAATATGTATTAAATAACAATTTAGGTGAAATAAAAAAGAAAGGAAA